CCACCTTTCCGAAAGCTACCGCTACATGATAAGCCGGGGTGTATACATTTTAAGTAAATTAGCGTCCTTAAATTTCGAAATATTGAAATTTCAAGCATTTCTGAAATTTACCGTTATATGAAAAGCGGCCTCAATTTTAGTCCGATTTCAACAATTTTCAACGGTTTGCTTTTATGTGGCAAGCACGATAACCATACCGAGCTTGGTACAAATTGCTAGAACGGTTAGCGAGATACATATATGTGATCACAAGTGGGCGGTGCTACGCCCATTTTCCAAAATTTTGTCATAAACGTATTTCTTGGTAAAGAATTGTTGCAATCATCAATTTTGAATAAATTAGCTTCAATATTTACGATTTATCGAAGATTTTGTATTTCTCGAAATTACCGTTATATGGGATGTGGGCGTGGTTATTGTCCGATTTTAGAAATTTTCGGCCAGTTGGTATGCTGTACCAGGACCAACAACTGTGCCAAGTTTGGAAGAAATTGGTGTAGCGGTTACCAAGATATACACATGTAACCATAAGTGGGCGTGGCTACGCCCATTTGCCAAAATTTTGTAATATTCTTATTTTTCGTCTAAAACTCATTGCAAATATAAATTTTGAGTGAATTATCTTCAGTAGTTACTAAAATATCGCAGTTTTCGTTTTTCTGAAAATTACCGTTATATGGGAGGTAGGCGTGGTTATTATCCGATTTCGCCCATTTTCAATACCATCCGTCCCACGCCCAAAAGAAGGTCACGTACCAAGTTTCGTTAAGATATCTCAATTTTTACTCGAGTTATCGTGTGCACAGACGGACGGACGGACGGACGGACAGACAGTCACCGCTTAATCGATTTCTCTTTTCATTCTGATCATTTATGTATACATTTGTCTATATCTATCTCGATTCGTTTTGCCTGTTACAAACAACCGTTATGTGAACAAAGTTATAATACCCTTGTGCACAAGTGCGCTCGGGTATAAAAACTATAGCAGTAAGCTGCTGGAAGGAAACATAAATATACTCTTTAGTCAGTTGTGGGCTCTCTACGCACCGCGTGTGAAGCTATAGGGTTAAAAATTGCATTAGAAATATACAAATAACCTTAAAAACTGGATGACAAGCTTCACACGCGTTTCTCAGCTCTGGCAAAGAACAAATTATACATACAATTTCGACGTCGCATTAGATTTCATTCAGAACTTTTGACAGGAAAATTAGTTTGAAATTAAATTAAGTGAACTGCCCCAACAGTGGTGTGGGGAATGCCAGTGCTTTGCAGTGAAGCGAAAAAATATAATAAACTTTTTACATGGTTACTTGGCAACTTGATTGGGCAACTATGGACATAATTAGATTAGAGAGAAGCAAGATCAGTGAAAAATTTATAAAAGAGAAATGGAAATATTTTTAAAACAACTCAGCCAAAATATACATATGTAAAAGAAACTATGCATAAACAAAACATCTGCTCCAAAACCAGTTTTTACGCATATGAAAAGCAAAAATAAAAAATTCAGAAGCAAAAAACTTAGCCAAAAAAAGAAGGAATATGAGGCATACAAGAGGAGCAAAAACTTGCAACTAAAGAAGCAAACTGAAACCAAAAACTTTAATACTAAAAATCGACTTGAGTATGAACTTAAAAATAGTAGCTATGTGCAAGAGAAAAAAACGCCAAAATAAAGCAAAAAAATATGCACATTTTTTTACCAGTCTACGCATATGCATGTAAATAATTTTCAGCTGCTCACAAGACCGCAGGAGATGCATTTCAGCACAGAAAGCAGAGAAGGCAAAGCACACACGAAAAAAAACGAGCGCTGGGAGGGGCGCAAAGTTGATAAAAAGCACTACTCGAAAAAAAATGTATGTACGCAACAAAAAACGAGAATTGAAGTGCAGCAAGACGTTGAAATTAATTTGGTTAAGCAGAGCAAAATTAGCCACATGCAAAATAGGAATAAAAAAATAAACAAAATCAACTACAACAGATGATAATCAAGCTGATGATCCTACACGCCACAGGAGTGCGCTGTAGGAAGCGACAGCACTCATCAACAACCAACATATGTTTTTGGCTGGCTTGAGCGGCAGTGCAGCAGTTGACAGTAGCAGCAGATACAGTAAGAAAAAAAGAGTAATATTGAAATTTTAGCAGCGCTTTTGATGATGAAAAACTCTTTGCAGTTTTTTACAAAATAAAAATATGCGTGCAAAGACAAGAATGCAAAAAAGAAATGTTGTGCAACGAAAATACTAAAACGAAATCATTGGAGAGGGGCGGCAAGAAAAAATTATGTTGCGAAAAACGGAGAAGGATGGTGGTGATGGTGCCGCTGTTGCTGGTGGCAATATTGCTATTGGATGCTGAATGTTTACTGCTCGCTGTGCCTTTTTTCTACCTTTACTCATAGCTTGGGTGTTTTGTATATTTTTTTTTTGCCTTCGACTGCCCGCTGCCTGTGTGCTTGCTGCTGGTGGTGTTGCAAGCGCTAGCGGTACGTTGACCTACGCTGCGTGCCGTCGCGCTCTGCGTCGAGGCGAGGTGGCACTGGTTGATCTCAACTAAACAGCGTCCTCGACAAGTTGACAGCCGCAAGAAGGCAAGCAACCAGGCAGGCACTCCGTCATTGTGTCAAGCAGTGGTATAGTCAAAGAGGCTGCAAGTGAGTCAGGCGGTTTAACGCCTTATGTGAGCAGATGTTTTTAAAAACTGTACGGTTTAAAGAAAAACAAAAATACTATGAAAGTTAAATTTGCAAACGTGAGTGACTTTTAGCGCGCACTTTAGGTGAAAAAAACAAAGCTATTGAGTTTTTTTTAGATATGTATTAAATGAACAAAAAAACAATTTTAATTATTTTTTTTAAGGATCTTTCGATATAGCGAATTTTTCAGAATCTTTGAAATTAAAAAAAAAAAACAATTTAAATTTGCATTTTTAATTAATTATTTTTTTTTTCAAACAAAAACTCAACGTTTTTAAAATGTTTGTTTTTTAATATATTTTTTTTATTATTTCGTTATGACATATTTTTTTTATTCAATATGCATTTTTTCACATTATTTTAAAAATTGCTTTCCCTGCTCGCACTCTAGGCCCTTATCAAAATAAAATTAATTATTTCATTATTAATTATTAATAAAGAGGTACCTCTGATTTGCTTATAAACTCAATTCACAATTTTTGTTTAACAAATACAAATTTTAAAATTCTATGCTTCGCACCCAAGGTCAATTGTCTGCCGTTAGGGGTTGTGACGCATTTCAAATTAAATTCATTACTACACTCACAAATTTTATTTACAGTTTTCAGTATGTGTATGTAATTTCTTAGTCTTTTGCGCTGCTGTGGATATAAACTTATCCTCCCTCCATTAAAATTTCAGAACGCTATCAAATTACACAAGCAAACATTTGTTTTGGATTTTTATATTTTTTGGAACATGTGTGCTTAAGTGCTTCGAAGGGCATGCAAAGTGGACTTTAGAGAGGAAACATTTTTTTTCGAGAGAGTGGAAAAAGTAAAATTTTTTCCAAATGTGGAATTAAAAAGAAATCTTAAATTTCATAAAAAATTTTACTTCTAAAAAGATTTTATCTAAAAATTCAGTAAAAAAAATGTCTAGTCATGTATCAAGAAATTTAAAACCGTTAAAAAATTCTTTATCGCTAGGTAGGTATGTATATCGTTCGTTTACAGAAACAATCGTAATCTTTTGAAGAAATCAAAAATTCAAAGAATATACTATATAGCTTTGAAGAAAATATACAATCTAATAGCTCTATTCTGTATCAGTGACAAATTCTTGTCAGTTTTTTTTTTTGCCTAAAAATAGTATATGAAAAAGGTTAAATTGGTCAGTTACAAAAGTTTTGTTACCGATACAGAATTGGGATATTAATTGTAAAATTTAAGTCTCATAGGATAGAGCGGAACGAATTAAAGTTTTTATGAGCAACATAAATTTTCTTGCAGCTATTTCTTTATTATGACGATATTTCGGCAAGCGAGCAATTTGTAGGTAATCGATTGAGAAAACTCCTCTTACGGTAGGTAAACATTTTTTCCAATTTTTTATTTTGCGTGGTGTGTCTTGATTAGCAGCTGGTTTCACCAGCAATTTAAATGGAACATGATTTTTTATTTTCTGTCAATTTCCATATAGCATTCAAAAAATTAAAATAATTTTTCACTTAAATTGTTTTCGTGAAATTGGCTGAAAATTTTAAGTTTATTTTTTTTTTTAATTTAAATTGTTTGGAAAAAATTAATTTTTTATATACTTTTATAATTTTGAATTTTTCCTACTTTAATAAAAATTAAAAAAAAAAATATTTTGTGGTGTTCGGCTTGATATTACGGCGACTCCAAAGGGCAAAGATACCTAATTAACAGTTAAATTTGTTTCTGATTTTTTTTTATTAAATTTTTTTAATTTAATTGGATTAAATACATATTTTTCTTTATCGGTAAACTTGGTTCGAAAAATTTGATTTTATGGTATAGAGTACAAAATTATCTGCATTGCATATCTGCGACTTTCAAAGAAATGAATTTCTGATTTTGGAATCCATCTGGGACTTATCCGTCATAATTGATGTTAATTCTAATTTTGCAATGCAATACTATATTCTTCTAAAAAGCGAAATACAAGGTTAGCATTAACGTCGACGACGGTAACGTCTTAGGTGGATTTTCAGGTCAATCAGAATCATATTTTTGTGAAAATCGCAAACAGGTTGAACGAAGCAAATTTTTCGTATAAAAAATGTAAGTTAAAAAATTACTTTTAATGAGTATGCAAGAATTCAATAAGAAAAATGTACGCCTTTCCCTTTTTTGGTTATTTTGAAACTTATTTGGGAAATCATCCCTATGCGCTACAAACTTATTTTTATTAAATTTACCTATTTCCCCTCAACTCAAACATCAAGCCTCTTGCCGTTTCGCCCGAAATACCCTAACTTTCTCGTGCAACATCCCAAACCCAAACTTACCTCATTGACGATGACTAAGAAGGTTAGGATTGCGGCTGCTGTGATTTTTATCCAATTCATTTTGAAAATTCTGTGTCTTTTTTTTTTGTGTACGAAGCTAATCCGTTAATAAGGGAATTAAGTTTCTACGCCGACGAATGCGTCCAATAGATTCAGCTGCCTTTTAGTAGCGTTGTCTGTAGAATTGCGGCGAAGTGTGTCTTTTTCAGTTTGTTTATGGATAATCCTTTAATATGGCGTTGTATAATTTTTTTACATATTTAAATAGTCGTTTTTTTTTTAATAAAACTTGTCGGCTACTTGCTATTTTTGCCAAAACAAAAGTCGGGCAAATGCGGTTTGCAAGCACAAAACTAATAAGTATGCTTGGTTGTTGTTCTTAGCAAACACTTTTTCGGAGTTTTTGTTGTTGCACACAATAAATAAATTCATAAAAATATAGGTAGGTATATTTAACTGGCATACAATAAAATGTATTTGAAAAACTAAATTATTTGAGTCTTGTTTTGTATTTGGAAACACTACTAAATGTTAGCTCAGCATGGCGTCACAGTTTTTTTTGCAACTATTTATTTGAAATTGAATTTTCTTGTTTTTTTTTCAATTTGCCAATTTTTTTTTTAGCTTTCTTGCATTTTCATTGTTATGTATGTACTTTTTTGTGTTTCATTCACATGCATGCACTTTTTTATTGCCATTGGCGCTTCTTGCGATTGCTTTCAGTTTTTGCACAGTCGCATTTGTTCATATTTATTTTAGTTTAGGTATTAATTCCGTGCTTTTTTTTACAAAAAGTAGCGTTATTCACGCCGTCGTTGTTGTTGTTGTCAGCTTTGCGTGGGCGATAGCAGCAGCACGTGAACTTTTGACATTTCGTGCGTGTCGGCGGCTGCGGCAGCGTCGTCGACTTCGACCGCGTAACGTAAAATAACGGTTAAGTGTAATTAACACTTTCAGCAACAAATGTAAAATTGCAAAATGTCCGCGCGTTGCTAATTTTTTGCGATAAGCATTAATTCTTAATTTGAGAATCCCTTGTACCGCATAGATGGTCACAGTTCACGAAAATTGTGTGCTTTCACTGCTATAAAATTTCGCGCCGCTTTCATTGCAGAAATCTTAGCAAAATTCTTTGCCGACACAAAAGCACATGGAATGACTGTTTGGTGTTGTTGGTAGATAGTGTACGTAATTGGCATCTAAAACTATTTAATTCTTCATTGAACTTTAAATAATTCGCACCTTTGCCGCAGTCTTTTATGCATTTGCACCTTTTCACTTTTCCAAACACTTTTTGAATCCAAATATTCTCAAGAAATGCAGCACGCTTTCTCAATGCAACGTCATTTTGAATATTTTAAACATTTGTTACTCTTGAATATTTTAACAATTTCTTCCATTTTTTAATGAATGCGAATTTTCGCGCGCCACTGCACTTTCACGGTAATTAAAACTTTTCAGTAAATTATTTCCAATCGTATAAATTTTCGATTTACATACGTCTTCAAAAGCACACTTTATTTTACTTTTTTTTTTTTTTATTTTAGAACCTATAGCGGGCAGCAGCAGCAGCACTATTGTAGAAATGTTGCTTTTGCTTGTTGTTGTTATTGTGTTTGCTTCTGGTTTAATAGCGTTTGGTGCGAAGCGAAGAACCCGACGACGTTTACCACGCAAACTTCAATTCAAAACTGCCGCTACGCTATGTCGCAAAGTTGCTGCCGCCCGCAAAACTTCGCCTTCGCTGCGAGCAAAACAACCAACTGCATTCTCTGCTCTCATCGGCGTCGCCGGATAGCCGCTATGGGTGTGAGTGATGCAGCATATGCCGGCATGTTATGGTGTGGCGCCGCTTGCACTACGGCGGTGAATGGCAGCTGCTCCGTCGACAGATGTTTTTCACTGTTTGCTTTGTGCAATGCATTCGCATGTCGTTGTTGTTGCCTAGCTAGCGTTTGCTGGCTTGGCTGTGCTCTTTTGTTGGTGCGCTGAGAGCGAGGGAGATTTGGTGAGCGCAAAAGTTGATGAATTTCGCTCAGCGTTGTACTCAAATAGGGTGCTTGCTTTGCTCAATGTAAAAAGCAGTAGATTTGGTTGAAAATTTTGGTAGTACGCTGGTAAAATGTATGTATGTAGCAGCAAGCTAGCAGCTGCATTGATGCGTTCGTATTTAGTTTTCCTTCAAATATGTGTGTGTGTATGTATGCATGTAAAATTCATCTTTTGTTGTTGTAAGGAAAATGAATTTATTTGATGTTTTTCTTGCCCTTCAAGCAACCGAAGCATTTGAAAACTGCTTTCAAATTCGTGAAAACTATGAAATGGGCTATCGCCTGCAGTCCGGCGGGGTGGTGTTGCGCTGGCTCTCAAACTGTTAGCTCGTGTACGCATTTTACTATTAGTGTGTTCGTTTGTTTCATTGAAAAATGTGCGTAATTAAATACCCTACAGAAAAAAGGTATTAATTGAAAAAAAATAACAACTTATTGTTAGCTTTCTTATGGGATTTTCATAAATACCTAACTTTTAATTAGCTATGACAACACGTTACCGGGAGTTTGTTTTCTTTAAACAAGCTTCTATTTAAATATGTTCATACAAATTTACTTTGAATGCACTTTTTTTTCTACACTTCGCAGATGCTTTCTCGAATGCAGGGCAAATAAAATAAAGATAGAAATGTTATATCATCATTTCGTTGTTATGTCTGATGGAACTCAATTATGGGACCACCTACAAAAGAACATACATATAAAAAAAATAAGCAAATTTGTAAAGTTGAATGAAGTAAATAAATAAAAGAGTAAAAGATAAAAAAAATCTTTTTTATTGATATTTTACGTCCAAAAGTAGTCACAAGTTAGCTGCCTAGTGCAGAGGAAACCAGTTCTCACTTTCTTGCGGCCATCGCCCTTCAAAAGGAGTTAGTTACGGCCGAAAGAAATGACAACAACAAACAACTTCTCTCGAGTTAGATCATTTTCTCTTCAAAGCAATAATTCATTGAGTCATATATTTTTATTTTTAATCGTTAATAAGAGTAGTCTAAGATGCTATCACAATGAAGGTAAAATAAAAATGCAAAATTTTTAATTTTACACTAAATTCCAACCAACGAAAAGCAAAGAAGTTGTTTTGTGAAAAGTCCACAGATATGTGCACTGGTGATATATTTCTAAAACATGATTTTGGTAAAAACTTATCGCTAGCTTAGAGTGAAAAGTTTCTAGGTCCACCTTTTGTAATTATTATATTTTGATGCAGGAAGCAAGCAATAATAAAAAATAAAAAATAAATCATATAAAAAAAATTCATTCTAAATCCAAATTAGTCGCAGAAAATGTGATAAGTCCCAAACAATACAAAAACTTTTCATTTACATATCGCACGTTTAATAATGAATATACAGAATTATTTCAAAATTTAAATTTTTTCCGAAAACTCAATTAAAGTTTCATCATTTCATACAGTTGGTATACCAAGAGACGGATGGAAAAGACCATTTTTGGGAAGTTTAGTCATCTGTTGGACTGAATATTTTCTCCTTATCAAGCTTATTATTTGTATGATGAAATCTTCAAAAACGCAATTTTGAATAACATCTCTATACTATTAACGTGCGATATGTACATTAGAGTAATCAAAAAAATATGTTTCCGATATGGGGTTGTGGGCACCTTCCAAAATATTACCAGCTGCAGTTGTCATGGCAACACTAGCTTTTTATAAAAATCGTCAATATTTTTGTCAGTTTCTAAGGGATTCAGTAGCGCATGCAAATACAAAACAGAAAAAACTAAGGGGTGTCCCGTTTTCTACGATGAAATTTTTTTCGCCATACAAAATTTGGACCACTCTAATGTACATTGGTTCGCTTGGAGTTGTGTACGCGAAAACTTGAAATAAAATTTTTGCAAGTCAAGCGCTTGAAAAATATTAGTTTGAAAGGTTTTTATTCTCTCCTATACAATTTGAAAACAAACTGGATTTAGCAACATTTCACTTTAAAATAGCGATAATTATAATTTCGACGGATTCGGAAGTAAAAAAAATCAACATAAAATAGGAAATATTTCGCTACTTGTGGTATGTTCTTAATTTCATTTACTAATGTTCTTGAAACTAAACTTGGCTTGAATTACAACAACGAAAATTATGCTTGGGCAATCGCTTTCTTGAAATGGGAGTAACATCTGTATTCAGTTACATACATACGTACATAAATTGGTTAGGTTAGAAACTAAATATCTAATAATTTTGTTTCCTTTTATTCATTTAAGGACCAGTACACGACTTTTCATAATTACTTCGGGGATAGTTCATAACTATTTAAGGGTCATTTCGTTACTAGTTTCGAACTACCCCAAAATGATACGGAAGCAAAATATACCAGAACTAGTGTCCAATTAGTCCTGTTGTTGGGTTGAACCGGGCTTGAACCCAGGCTCTGCGGAGCCAGCGGTCCGTTACTAGACCCAAAATGATCCCAAACTACTCCCAAAATAGGTCTAAAAGCCCTGAGGTAGTCTCGAAACGATCCTCAACTAAATAGTCTCGAAGTGTTTGTGAAATAGTACTGGACTAGTATCGAAATAGTCCAGAACTAATCTCCACTATAACTACGATAAAGGGCCAAGCCGAACTTTATATACCCGGCGCACGTATTTAATATCGATTTCTGACCTTTCAGTAAACTGCATGATAAGCAAGAGTATTTTTCCCGTAGTCAAACAGTTTCAATAATATGCTATGATAGATCGAAATAGTTGGACCAAGTTTGGTGGAAATCGTTAAGGCGGCTATCGATATAAGTACACTTATGTAGTCATAAGTGGGTGGTGCCATGCACATTTAACAAAAATTAATATTCTTGTGTCTTTTTAAGAGATTGTTGTAAGTTGGGATTTTTAGTTATTGAAAT